CTGTGTGCAATAAATTTTGATACACCTTTGAACCTCTGAAATTTGACCACTCAAGGGACTGTAACAAACTGGTCAACACAGGGAGGTGGTCAACACAGGAAACCAGGCCTCCTGTACTGATAGGTACATGTGGTGCCTGTCTGGTCTATGAAAATTGGATCAGCTTAAGAAGGTGGTTAACTATGGAGGTCTGCTGTATTGTATTTTAATGTTCATTAAGTTTAATGTATTCTCTGGCTTTTCTTTGACCACAATTATTTATAATTGTGTGTTTTAATTTTCAAGTGTTTGGAGATTTTCTTTTTATCTTTCTGCTGTTGATTTCTAACTAGACTCCACTGTGGCTGGGAACACTCTCTGAATGATTTTAATTTTATTGAGGTTTGTTTTACAGCCTAGAATTAGCTCTATCGTGGTTTGTGCTCTGTGAGCTCTTGTTGGGTAGAATGTTCCATGAGTATTTAGTAGATCCTATCGATTGATGATATTGTTGAATTCTTGTCTATCTTTGTTGATTTCTGTCTAGTTCTTTTAGTTGCTAAGAATGTGATTTTGAAACCTCCAATTATAATTGTAAATTTATCTTTTTCTCCTTTAGGTCTGTCAGTTTCTGCTTCACACATTTTGCAGCTCTTGTTTGGTGCCTATATACCTGGGATAGCAGGGTTCTCTTGGGTGACTGACCCTTTTTGTCTGTTGATAATTTCCTTTACTCTGAATATTAAACCATCTGATATTAACATGGGCATTGCTGCTGTCCATTGATTAATGCTTACATAATGCATAATGTTTTCCCTGTATTTTTACTTTTATTCTTGCAATAGCGTTATATTTGAAGTGAACTTCATATAGATAGCATGCAGTTAAGTCTTTTTTAAAAAGACAGTCAGTGTCTATATTTTCTTTGGTGTATATTTAGCCCTTTTATGTTTAACACAATTATTGATATATTAGTACTAAAATCTCTCATTTTATTCTTGCTTCCTACTTGTTCTCTATTTTTTGTTTTTTTCCCCCATTACTTCCTGTGAGTCACTTTAACATTTTTAAAAATCCATCTCAACTTATCTACAGTGTTTATAAGTGTATGTCCTTGATAGCTTTCATTCATGGTTGCTCTAGATACAACATTAAGTATACATGCATTGCAGTTTGCTGGTTTTGTCATTTTACCAGTTTGGATGAAGCATAGGAACTTTATCTTCCTTTATGACACTTTACTTGCCTCCTTCACTTATAATATAATTGTTCACAGATTTTCTCTATGTGTGTTTAGAAGGACTTTAGGCCGTGTCACTTGGCTCCCCGTCAAACCTGAGACCCACGGGAAGATGCCTTGCCCATGTATAGCTTGCTGTGTTCTTTCTCTCATGATATGCTGAGGTTCATTCTTCTGCATTTCCTTTACACTTAGAGAGGCTGATTTAGTCATTCTTCCAGAGCTGGTCTTTTGGTGAGACTCATTTGTCCTTCATCTGAGAATGTCTGAGTTTTCTCTCATTCCTGAAAGATATTTTAGCTGGATATCTGGATGGATAGATTTGCAGGATTCTGCACTGGAAAAACATTTCTGTTTCTTCGTGGCCTCCAAGTTTTCTGATGAGAAATCCTCTATCATTTGAATTGAGTTTCCCTTGTAGGTGTCATTTTTCTCTGGCTGCTATCAAGATTTTTTCTTTGTAGGTTTTCAGAATCTTAATTACTATATGTCTTGGTGGAGATTTGGGTTTATTCTGTTTGGAATGAACTCAGCTTCTTAAATTTTTAGATTTATGTTTCTTGCCAAGAAAATTTCAGCCATTATTTCTCTGATAACCTTTTCAGACCTGTCTTCTCTCTCCTCTCCTTTGAGACCCTCCTAACATGAAAAGTGGATCTTGGGTTACAGCCCCACCATCCTTGAGACTCTTTTATTTATTTATTTATTTTGAGACAGAGCCTCAAGCTATCACCCTGGGTAGAATGCTCGGGCATCATTGCTCACAGCAGTCTCAAACTCTTGCTTAAGCGATTCTCTTGCCTCAGCCTCCCAAGTAGCTGGGACTACAAGAACCCGCCACAATACCTGGCTATTTTTTGGTTGTTGTTGTCATTGTTTGGCAGGCCAGGGCTGAATTCGAACCCACCAGCTCTGGCATATGTGGCTGGTACCTTAGCCGCTTGAGCTACAGGCACCACCTTTTTTTTCCTTAAACTATTTTCTGTCTGTTGTTGAGATTGAGCAACTCTGATTGCTCTTTCTCCAGTTCACTGATTGTTCCCCAATCTCCCTGTCCTTCTATCATCTGCATTCTCTGAGCTGTTTATTTGTTCATTGTATTTTTGTTATAATATGTATTTCCATTTGGGTTTTATTTACATTGTTTGTTTACCAAGACTGTGTTTTCATCTGTTTCACGTGTGTTCATAATTGCTCCCTGAAGCATTTGTCAGACAACCTGGGCATCTCTGCCTCCAGGGGTGGTATCTGTGGATGCTTCTTTCTGTTCAGTTTGTGACCTTCCATGTTCTTGGTGTGACCAATGAGTTCCAATTGAGCCCAGACATTTTTATATCATATCATGAGACACTGCATCTAATTTAGACTTTGCATTCTACTGGCTTTTTATGAGGCTGCTCAGGGTAAGGAGTGGGGGTACCTCCTTGTCATAGACAGATGGAGACAGAGGTCCATGCTACCCTGTCCACGCTACCTGTACCTTGCTACCTCCAGCAGGGTGCCAATCCTCAGTCTCCAGACACTGTTGGGGGGTATTTAGCCAGTAGAGAAGTTCTGGGTCTCCAGTGGGCTTTCTCTGACTTTACCTCGTGGGGCTGGGAGTGCTTCATCACAGCTTAATGAAAGAGGATGTCTAGCCCCAACATGGCCTCTCCTGGCCAGGGGAGTGGGTACTTCTGTCTGCGGTGTTGGCTGGAATCTTGGTCTTTTTTTCTAAAATGTGTTTTGTCTTTCTGAGGTGCTGCTCTCCTTGCCCTTTGCCTAGAGAAAGGCAGCCTTGGTTGGGGCATTTCTGTCTGCATCTGTGTCTCTGGGTGGCTTCCTCACCTCTATCTCTAGGGTGGGTGAGGCAGAGACAATCCAGGCAGTGCATGCTGCCTCCTGTGCTCCAATTGCACCTGCCCTCCTAAGTCTGGTGCTTGCTTTCCTTGTGCTCAGAGCTGCTGGCTTATTTTGGTCAAGGAATATGGGATCCTGTGTCTTCTCCACCTTTCTGGAAGCCTTTTCTTTCTCCTAGGGTTTTCCCTCCAGGATGTGCCTTAAAGAATGTCTACATCCTCTGTTCCATGCATTCCTTTGATTTTTGACATCCTAAACACTATACCTTTCCACTTCTAGGAAAGCCCAGAAGCCTGGCCTGGAGCAAAAGCCATCCCTGTGCTACCCAAAGTGGCCTTCTTCTGTTCTAGAGGGGCTGGGCCCTTACCACAGACCTCAGAATTGACATAGCTCAGATTTTTGTGTCCTGTAGATGAGAAATACCGAATTTCAGTTATTTAAATATTAAAACTAAATTTTCTTCATGAGAATTTCCCTTTGTGTTTGATTTGCTGTTTCTTGATAAATATTGATATTTGGGACATCCTTTCAGTAATGGCATGGCTGAAATACACCTATTTTCTAAATCCACACTGCTGGGTATTATACTAACATTGCAAATGTGCTTTTGAATGAAAATGCTCCTGGGAATGGAGTGATGAACAGACATTGCAGAGAGGGTGACTTTAAGTTGCTCTGGCAGATGGAGTAGACTTGCTGGTTATGAAAACACATAAGCCTGAGTTAGGGCACCCATGACTGTGGGGCCTGGTGCTGCCTGCAGGGACCTGTTCTTTAAACCTTATGTGAAAGAGCTGCTTTAAGCAAGTTGGGATGAATGTCAGATGAATTTGCCCATCAGCTTCCACTTTGGGTAATACCACTGAGTCTTGAGGTTTAGAAATATTCCAACTGTTTGAATCTTGCTATCTTTAAACTTTAAAAAATTTTACACTTGTGTTTGAAGAAAACACTCAAGTCTGTTCATGAAAGTAGCCTATACCTACTGAACTCTTCCTTTAATTCCATCCAGAATGCGTGCTCCCCAGTAGGTTCTGGACTTCCTCAAATCATACACACATGCACACACACGCACAGGCACAGAGCCATCCTGATTTGAAGATTTTGGTAATGTGTTTTTGTACAAGGCATAAAAATATATCTCTGTAATTACATGATATTTAGTGATTAGATAATTATGGATAATTACATGGGGTAGTTCTGAGTGCTAAAGTGTTACCATAAGATCTAAAATGTACAAATTGCATAATAATTATTCTTGGGAGTTATTTGGTAATTCTGAGCATAATTATCATGTGATCCACAGTGCATGTAATTAATGCATAATCACATGGATTTTGCCTTCATAACTACTTCACCCTTGTTAGAAAGCTCTTTGTCATAACATTTGAGCATAAACATGATGTAATTGGCTCCCAGATACAGTGCATTAAGCCCCTGGTAATTGCTTTCACAGTAACAATACCCCTTATTCCAATCCAAGTGTTGGCTGTTACACAAGATGGGTTAGGAAGAGCAAGTCTCCCAAGATGTGGTGGCCAGCAGGTGGAGGTGGCGGGTGAGTAGGGGGTGAATGTGTGCGTCCAGTGGGTGGGGGGGGGGCTTTGGGTTTGGGCCCCAAAGCTTCCACCTTCCCCACTGGATGGAAATCTCTCTTCTTGCAGAAGTACTCAGGAGGAAGCTCCTTACCATCAGCCACAGCCAGCACCCACAACGCCTATATTTGTAAAGTGTAGAAATCGTCAGTTATCTTTCTGGTTTACTAGTTTCAGAATGCTGGGATTTATAAGCAGAAGATCTTACTGATACTCAGGAGAAGGAGCCTGGGTTTGTGGATGACACCACCAGCTTGCTGCTGAAAGGCCATTCCTGGTGAGGTGGGAGCAGGAGCTTTGCCTGCACTTCTAAGTCAGTGATGGTTTTTGCAATTTTTCCCCCTCAGGTCTCACATGGCAGGATGCGTATACACAGTATGTGATGGCCCAGGAGCTTGCAAACCTCCCCAAAACCTACCCACGGCATCCTGAAGCCTCCACACAAGCCAGGTAAGTGTGGACTCATTCCCTCCCTGTACTCCTGGGCCACAACCTACACCCATCAGCCATTGACTTTTATTTGTTTTAATGTAGCAAAGCACTCCCCATCTTTCTGGTATAGAAGTTTCAGGAAGTTGAGGTGTCTATTAGGAAGAGCTTGGTGCTTCCTTTTCTCCATGCACCCCAGCCCATGAGGGAAGGTTTTGGGGGGATCTTCCAATAAGGTGCCATATTCCTCAAGAGACATTTGTGTCCCTGGGGTCTCCCCGCCTCTCCCACGACACCCTTGCAAACATCCTGCCTCTTCAGAAGTCAAGAACTCTCATTTCTCAGGAAGAAATTTTGTTTGCTTTAGCACAAATGCAGAATTAAGTCATGAAATCTTTGGCTTCCCCTTTCCCAAACCATAGCAGCCTCTTCTGGGCTAAGTATTTTGATCTGTGTCTTCTCATTTCTCCTCTCCGTGAACTCTGTGGTTCTGCCTGTTCCTGTAAGTGAGGAACTTGAGGTTGTGAAGCTGAAAGATTAGTCCAAAGACAAACCACAGCAGGAAAACTGCGGTTGTCTGATTCTAGAGGCATTGTGCTATTTTTCATTTTTTTTTATTAGATCATAATTGTGTACATTAATTCTATCATAGGATACAGTGTGTTGCTTCCATATGCAGTTTGGAAAACTCTCATCCAACTG